CACTGCTAATGAGCAGTCTCATGCTAATGGAGGTGTCCGTCCAAAAACCAAGCTTTCAGGTGTAGCGTCCGTGGATTTGAGTGCTTGAGTCTGCTATTGTGTTGTGTCAGCTTGGCGAAGAAGGGCATCCCAGTGGTAAGGAGATGACTTCCAGTGGGATGCCGAGTATAGTGTCCAAAGATTGGTGTATAGAAGAGTAGACCCTTTGCAGCCATAGCTGTAGTCCAGCCGAGGAGAAGACCTTTCGACCCATAAGGTCTTACCTTCCCTGTCTGCCGGGATGGAGCATGGGTGCTGTTGTTTGGTTTGCTCCCACACAGCCTGTATCACCAAGGAGTTTGGCGGAGGATGTGAAAATAGAAAATTCTGACACCTTAGTGGGGACGTAGTAACCTCTCTCAGCCACCTTGGTGGTGCACACGTGGCCAGGGTATGCCACTGGGTGCGTGCTGGTTGAAGAATGGTCTCATTGATTGGTAGAGCCACCCTTGCCGGTACCAATGCATGCAGAATGTCTAGTAACTGATGTTGACTGTTCTACAGCTCTCTTAGTGGGATCTCAAAACCATTGGCTATCCTCTGTAGCAGCTCTTGAAACAGTCCTCTGGTGGGGAGGAAGTTGTCGATGACTGGCAGCATCTGGAGACAACAAAGGGAGTCTCTCCATATTCACCAGTACCGTCTGAACCGGGCAAATCAGTGTGTCATCTAACCCCATTTCTGAATGTCTGCCGGACGAAGGTTGTGGGGATGAGATGGGGGAGTCCTCTTGAGACAAACAGGACTGCTCTGAAGGCGAATACCGAGGCCATGAGCTCCAATATGGCCAACGTGGTTGATCTTGCTGCTGTTGAGCTTGTGCACAAGGAGCAGGGTACCAGCTCCATGGGTAAGGCAAAGTAGGGAACTGCCACGGTGCCGTCAGAACCCTTCGGTAGTTGTGCTTCGAGAGTGGGAGTGGCGGGCTGTGTCAAATGTTCATATCCTCCGAATTGGAGACCTCCACAAATGGCGTTGCCGATAGAGCCATTGGAACAGGGTGTGTCAGAGTAGCATGGGTAGCATGTGGCAGAAGTAGTGGGGGAGGAAGGGGCCCTCTCAGAAGGTGAGCACATCAGAGCACGGGGAGACCTCAGTCCCTGCAAGGCGAATAGCTCAAGGGGGCCAGGAACACTTCCGAGTCTCCCAGGCATCAGTAGTATCCGGTCTGTCGATGGGACCAGAACTGGTAAGGGCATCTGTCTCAGAACCGACGGTTCACGGGAAGCTGGGACTCATGACTGGACCTCAGCACGGGGTCCGCAGCACTGATACCAGCAGAGCCGAATGGAGGTTCCGCGGTACAGGGAGGGCTTTTAGGTTGCTCAGGCTGATGTACAGGGGGGTTCGCTGGCTAGGATCCAATTTTGGCCCCATGGTAGCCTCCATTAAGTGCTTTTTGAGTCAAAAAACTTGGCTTTCCCACATATGGGCAAGGAAGGAGAGGCAGATACTACACCTGGACACAATGTGGGACTCCTCCAAACAGCACTGGTGTTCATCACTAATGGAAAATGAGCGAGGGCAGAAAGCATATGTTTTGAATCCTGGCATCTTTGGTCTAATCCAGTACCCAGGCATGGTTGGGTGGGGAGGAGGGATTGTTTGGCAGGAAAACCGCTGAAGCTGCATTCCGAGTCCTTAATCCTATCAGCTACTATGAAACTAGAAAGTACTTATAAAAAACAAACAAACAATAAAACCATAACTATGAATGAGGCCAAAATCAATTTTTCTAAAATCTGTTGAAAATGCATCACTAAGGACAAGAGAGCAACAAAAGCTCTGACTTGGACCATGCGGCAGTGAGAAGGAACTGGAGACGCTGGCGGTCCATCCCACCCTTTATCACCTCGGGCAAAACCACGAGGCAATAGAAGGGCACATGCTGAACAACACTACTTTCAAAAGTTCTGGCTCCGGGCACATGCGCATAACCTTCAGTGGAATACAATAGAGACCATCACTCGAAGAAAATACTGTTCTGTGCCAAATTCAATTAAGTAAGCTCCTGCCAAGTGGCTAGTAAGCATTTAATGCCTTAGATATTGCACACACTTGTGTTTTACAACAAGTGGGCAGAAAAGCTGCTATAAGCATATACTATGGAAACAACAACAAAAGAGACATTGGAAACAGGTGCATGAATGCAGAGTGGAGATAATAATGCAGAGAGGATAAAAGAGCAATCTTTCTAATAGAAAAATCTAGTACATTTTACTTTGTTTCTTCCAACATACAACAGAGTAGAACAGAATGTTGGGAAAATAGGGAGGTAATATACCCTTTTTCTAAGTCACTGTAGCATAAGCATATATGATAGTGAACTGTACACAGTGCTGGCTGCCTCAGTATAAAATATTAAAGATATGAAATATTTAGAGTACAGCTATCAAGGTGATAAAAAGCTTGAGGAGTTCTGTATAAGAAAAAAACAGAGCTGCAGGTGTATGGCTTGGGGAAAAGGAGCTTACGTAATTAGAGTTTACACATCTGAAAGAACAAGTACTGTGATACAGAGAAGGATAATTAGTAGTACCAGAAAAAAAGGTTTTTAAAAAGTATAAAGGTATTTCTATTAGTAAGAATAGTTCAAATATGGAACAGGAACCAAGGTAAGATGCAGAAGCTCCATCACTAAATACACTATTCACGATTAGAGCTTTCAAGTGATTTAAAAAATTAATAATAGAAAACTATTTAAATATTTTTGGATGTCTTCTACATTTTCAAATATTTTGCTTCAATTACAACACAGAATATGAAGTGTACAGTGCTCATTTTATATTTATTTTTATTACAAATATTTGCATGGTAAAAAAACAAAAGCAATAGTATTTTTCAATTCACCTAATACAAGGACTGTAGTGCAATCTCTTTATCTTGAAAGATGAACTTACAAATGTAGAATTATGTACAAAAAATAACTGCTTTCAAAAATAAAACAATGTAAAACTTTAGAGCCTAGAAAGTCCACTCAGTCCTTCTTCTTGTACAGCCAATTGCTCAGACAAACAAGTTTGTTTACATTTGCAGGAGATAATGCTGCCTACTTCTTGTTTACAATGTCATCTGAAAGTGAGAACAGGTGTTTGTATGGCACTGTTATAGCTGCTGTCGCAAGATATTTACATTCCAGATATGCTAAAGATTCTTTCATCCCTTTATACTTCAACCACCGTTCCAGAGGACATGCATCCATGCTGACGACAGGATCTGTTAGACAATGATCCAAAGCAGTGCAGAACTGCGCATGTTCATCGTCTGAATCAGATGCCACCAGCAGAAGGTTGATTTTCCTTTTTGGTGGTTCGGGTTCTGTAGTTTCCACGAGAGACTTCTGAAAGCATGCTCCACACTTCGTCCCTCTCAGATTTTGGAAGGCACTTCAGATTCTTAAACTTTGGATAAAGTGCTCTATCTATCTTTAGAAATTTCACATTGGTACCTTTTTGCATTTTGTCAAATCTACAGTGAAAGTGTTCTTAAAATGAACATGTGCTGGGTCATCATCTGAGACTGCTATAACAGGAAATATATGGCAGAATGCGGGTAAAACAGAGCCGGAGACATATAATTCTCCCCAAGAAGTTCAGTCATAAATTTAATTAATGCATTATTTTTTTAACGAGCGTCGTCAGCATGTCCTCTGATATGGTGGCTGAAGAATGAAGAGGCATACGAATGTTTAGCATATATGTCACGTAAATACCTTGCAATGCCAGCTACAAAAGTGCCATGCAAATGCCTGTTCTCACTTTCACATGACATTGTAAATAAGAAGCAGGCAGCATTATCTCTCGTAAATGTAAACAAACTTATTTGTCTTGGTGATTGGCTGAACAAGAAGTACGACTGAGTGGACTTATAGGCTCTAAAGTTTTACATTGTTTTGTTTTTGAATACAGTTACATAACAAACAAAAAAATCTATGTTTGTAAGTTGCACTTTCACGATAAAGAGATTGCACTACAGTACTTGTATGAGGTGAATTGAAAAATATTATTTCTTCTGTTTATCATTTTTACAGTGCAAATATTAGTAATCAAAAATAATAATATAAAGTGAGCACTGTACATTTTGTATTCTGTGTTGTAATCAAAATAAATACATTTGAAAATGTAGAAAAACATCCAAAAATATTTAATACATTTCAATTGGTATTCTATTGTTTAACAGTATGATTAAAACTGCAATTGATCACGATTAATTTTTTTAATTGCCATTAATTTTTTTTAGTTAATCGCATGAGTTAACTGTGATTAATAGGCAGCCCTATTCACAATATGTTAGATAAGGCACTCGTATAGTCAGTAGGGACAGTACTGAGTACTGCACAAAAGGTGGACTAGAGGGCCTCATAGATTTTTCCCACCTTAAAAAGTCTAATCATTACATTAATAATTTGTTTCCATTTAATATTAAAGAATTAAGATTTCAAACAGCAGTATTAAAGTGTCAAGTGTGCTTGGCACCCACAAATCCCACTAAAGTCAAAGAGAACAGAAGGTACTGTGTACCTTTGAAAATCAGGCCACTTCTATTTATATAGCTTATGGGGCCTAACTTTAAGCACCCCAATTTGAAAACCTCAGTCAAAATATTTGTCAACTATTCCAGACTGCAAAGTGTGCAGTTCTGGTGTTCCACCTGCTGATTACTACCATGTATGTTTTCTCATGTCTGTTTAAAAAAGAAATTGATTATGTAGCTTGTAAACAATAGTAGATTTTTGTAGCAGTGTGGTGATGAGGTAATACCTGTTCATGTATTTAAGGTCAGAATCAGGACCCAAGGCTGATGTACATGATGTGAATTCACTCCTGCATTCTGATTTTCACTTGAAATGAAAATTGTGTTCCACATGGACATATATTGAAATACTCATATCTTAGCAATTTCCTAAAGTTCTACAAGATATTTTAGCCTACAAGAAACACAATTAAGAAAAAATAGCTTACGGTATGATTGGGTCAGTGAATGAAAAGGATTCAGGGTTGTCTTCTTCTAGCAAAGAGTTGATTTTCTTTCCAGTAGCTTTACCAATCGATGTCTTAAGCTTCTTGGCTAGCTTCTTAGGAGTGTTTGTTATAGTTGGAGATTGGTCTGTACAGCAACTATACACTTCAAACTTTACTTGGAAGTCTGGCCCCGCTTCATCACTGAAAACAATTTTTTTTTTGGATAATTTGTGAATTAACCGAGTACAAAATGAAGGTACAATAATGTATACTGTTCATTAAGGTAAAGAATTCCATTAGATTGCCAGAACAAATTGTGTGTTAAAATGGAATTAAGGACAAGAGTACGTATCAGCAATTTAAGGATAGAAATCATTATAGTGATGTTATAATTATCCTATAAACAAACATTATAAAAACACAGGAAATTCAAAGTTTAGACTAAAACGTGAGAAAGCCAAATGTATTATGGAAATGCAGCTAAGGCATCCAAACGAACAAGCAACATGATATGCTGTACCAGTACATATACCTCGGTAATGAATCTATCTCAATCTACTTGAAGCTGAAGTTCAAGTTTGTTTGAGAGTATGACTATAAGGAATTAAATATGTGCATCCCAGAAAGTTCTGTGTGAAATTAATAAAGAGCTTGTTGCAGAGCATAAATGAGTTTGGATATTACTATGTTTGGCTGCAAAGGCATGTAAGTTGCTGTGGCTATTAATATTGCCTTACCTAGTGATTTCCCTGATTTTTACTCATTGCATTAATAGCAGTGGCAATTGAGCAATCTAAAACAGTTACGTTTTTTGTGAGGGATTATAAAATGCTTGGGCTTTTCATACAATTTAGTTTTAAACTCCCAATGCTGAAGCTTTAGATTAGATTCACAAGGCATAAAATGGATAAATATTCTGAATGCTAAAAAGTGGCATTTCTATTCATTATCAAATTTCAATTTTTTAAAAATACAGATTTCTAAGTGATGGTTATGAAAAGTCTAGATTTGTAGAAAATGAACTGCATAAATAGTAAAAAAGTGTATAATAAAAGAAAATAAATATTCTTAACACACTGAAATTGTTTGGTTTAAACTATGCCTTTGGATTAGTTTCTCCAAGGGCCCTGCATTCTCTAATGTGCCTTTGCTATATGTATCAACAACAGCTGAGTGGATTGAAATGTTCTCTCAAGTTGTTATACAGAAACCTGGGCAATTAAGGGGTTGACTTAAGAGGATCTACAAATATTTTTTAAATAGTTTGTTGCCCTTTCTACTTTTTTATGCTTTAGAAAGATAAAGATTTTATAAAAATTCTTTAACCTTAGAAACATCAGGAATATCAAAATAGTCTTCCGTGGTTTGCTGCAAGACTTACTGCGGGTCTATTGTTAGCTCTCCTACCCTTTAAGGGGTGGAGTTAAATCTTTGCCTTAAATATTCATTTGAACAGGGGTTAACAAAAAACATTCTTAAAGTCTGTTTAAAAATCCCTTTCCTTCTCAACTTCTCAGTTTTCAGTCTATCAACTTTTGTTTTAACTAGTTCTTGAGTTACCAGAGAGCTTTCAGGGTAGATATGACTCAAATTTCTAATTAAAAACAACGAGGAAAAAAAACCTAAGTGCCTCACAACCTTTCTTTATACATTAAAAACACACAAAGGAATACAAGCCCAATTCCTCCTCCACCTTTAATGGGGAATTAATAACTTCCTGTCCAGTTTTCACAAGGAGAAGGATGGTGGCTGTGGCACAGGCTCATGAAGGTGCAGTGGACAATCAAGCAGGGAGTTTGTTTGTTTTTCAATACCTAGTGTCAATAAGGAGGTGAACTATGGGATCCTTAAAAAAAAAAAAAAAGATAGCAGCCTTATGTGGTGTTTGCATCCAACATTTTAAGTATTAATGTTTCTTGTTTACATGAAGCTCTGTATACTTTCAGTTTCAATGCATTAATTTAATTTCACACACACACACACACAGCAGCCCCACTCATTTAAATCACAATAAGACATTTCTGAATATGACACAATGGAAACGGCATATAGTGATCCAGCTAAATATAGCATCACTATACAGGAGCCCAAATTCCTTGGGTAAAGAGATGGATTCAACACCCATCCAAGTCATCAGAAGAACTTCCATTTATTTCAGTAGCTGTTGGATCAAGACCTATGTACATATCATATCATGTCTTTTTTCATAAGAAAACACAAAAGTTAACACGTTTACTTCGTTCAACAAAAATTGATACTTACAATATGGTTACATTTTCAAAACAGATATCAGTTATTGCTTTATCCACAATAACCATGTCTGTATCAAAAACCTCAGCTCCCATTTTGAATAAGCAAAAAATTGCATAGCGCTGTGATCCTGGGAAGAACCAAAGAAATGTTTTAGCAGAGATGTTATGTAACACAACGTTAAAGGTTTCCTGTAAATGAAGACACTGAAATGAGTTTCAAATGAAATTTAACTTGAATCTATGATGCGTTATCAAAGAATTCTTGTAATCATAAATTATACATTCTAGAGTGTTATGCATTTTGTAGTTGAACCATCAAACCTGCTGCATCTGTAGAGCAACATTTCTAGAAACAAAATTAATTTCAACCTCTACTCAAGGATTCCTTTCTACAGGCATTTATAATATTTGCTAATAATTTCAGAAACTTTAATAAAAAGTATTTGTGCTCAATAGGATTGATTTAAAACAAAACAGCTGAACACCAGAGTGCATACTGTATTATGAATGCACTCATGGATTAGAGTATTTTGCCATGCTAAGCCCCTTTGACCCTTTTGAAAAATCAAAGTGAAATCAATGCCTGGTGACAGCTGGAACAGATTTAGGGTTAATCTCCATTACATAGCAAAGTACATGTATTTGTGAAGACTACCAAATAATCCACTCAATGCCAACAGACAGAATTTTCATTTAAATTCTTCTCTGACAAAGGCATCTCCCACCAAATACTCTTTCAAACTCAGGCAAAAAGATACAAGAAGTTTATGCTGAATTTTTTCAGCTATTAGTCAATTTAGTGGTGCCACTTTTCTATTTCTTCCTCTGAAGTTTCAATCTTTCTCTCTCAAAAGCATCTCCAACACCCACCTAACCTACAGTATTAGAGTTTCATTCAGCTCATATATGCCCAAGCTTCTCCACAGCACCACTTTCTCAGTAGTAGCAATTTAAATGAATAGAAACTGCATAATTCTAACCTATTTTAAACGGCTACCACCACTACCTTCAGGGTAAGGGCTACTGTGCAGTAGTGCAGATAGTACATAGTCTTGCAAAACTCTCTCAAAAAAATAGGTGAAAAGGAGGGTCTCAACTCCATGTCCAGTTTAAACTTTGATTAACATTACCTGTTTATATAACAGTTCAATAAAATCTAACATACTTTCTTTATTGTTGAAGTGATCAGAGCCTTTCCACATTAATGGTATGCGAATATCTAAAGAAGAAAAGGAAAAATTAAGTTATAAGCAACAGTGTAGACCTGCAGTCCAAATAAAACACAGAATATTTCTGGTCTGTTTTTCTACCGTTCTATTTCTGGCCATAGTAGGGCTTACTCTTTCTATCCAACAAATAGCATAACTAATTCAATCGCTACCACTAGTGCCAAAAGAAACTTCATAATTTAACTAGTTCAATATGAAGTGTCATTCTCCTTTAGAAATGTTCTTTATCCCAGCATAATTTATAAACTTATTTAAGAATCTGAAATAACATCTCCGGGTGGCTGCTGGAACGTGGCTCTGAGTGATATTTAAGTCCATTTTACAGTGAAGACATGTTAAGTGAAATACTCTTGCTATGTTTGTGCTCAGAACCACTCATTTTGCTACAAGAAAGACAACCCCTCTATATTTAAGGCTAACTTGGAGAAGTTTGTGCGGCAAGTGCTTTTTCTTGCCTTCCCAGTCATTGAGCAAATACCACTTGCAATTACGTACCAAGTTTGGATCACCTTAGCTGACACAAAAATTTAAAAAAAGCTTTTTAGAAGGGCTGTCAATTAATCGCAGTTAACTCACGCGATTAACTCAAAAAAATTAAGCATAATTTAAAAAATTAATCACGATTTGTCACAGTTTTAATTGCACTGTTAAATAATAGAATACCAATAGAAATTTATTAAATATTTTGGATGTTTTTCTACATTTTCATATATATTGTATTCTGTGTTGTAATTGAAATTAAAGTGTATATTATTTTTGCTTACAAATATTTGCACTGTAAAAATGATAAACAAAAGAAATAGTCTTTCAATTCACCTCATACAAGCACTTTCTCGCAATCTCTTTGTTGTGAAAGTGAAACTTACAAATGTAGATTTTTTTTGTTACGTAACTGCACTCAAAACAAAACAATGTAAAACTTCAGAGCCTACAAGTCCACTCAGTCCTACTTCTCATTCAGCCAATCGCTAAAACAAACAAGTTTGTTTACATTTAAGGGAGATATTGCTGCCCTCTTCTTTACAATGTCACCAGAAAGTGAGAACAGGCATTTGCATGGCACTTTTGTAGCCAGCATTGCAAGGTATTTACGTGACAGATATGTTAAACATTCGTATGCCCCTTCATGCTTCGGCCACCATTCCAGAGGACATGCTTCCATGCTGACGACGCTCATTAAAAAAAATGTGTTAATTAAATTTCTGACTGAACACCTTGGGGGAGAATTGTATGTACCCTGTTCTGTTTTACCCGCATTCTGCCATATATTTCCTGTTATAGCAGTCTCGGATGATTACCCAGCACATGTTCATTTTAAGAACACTTTCACCACAGATTACACAAAACGCAAAGAAGGTACCAATGTGAAATTTCTAAAGATAGCTACAGCATTTGACCCAAGGTTTAAGAATCTGAAGTGCCTTCCAAAATCTGAGAGGGATGAGGTATGGAGCATGCTTTCAAAAGTCTTAAAAGAGCAACACTCCGACGTGGAAACTACAGAACCTGAACTACCAAAAAATAAAATCCACCTTCTGCTGGTGGCATCTGACTCAGATAATGAAAATGAACATGCGTCGGTCCGCACTGCTTTGGATCGTTATCGAGCAGAACCCGTCATCAGCATGGACCCATGTCTTCTGGAATGGTGGTTGAAGCATGAAGGGACATGTGAATCTTTAGCGCATCTGGCACATAAATATCTTGCGATGCCGCTTACAACAGTGCCATGAGAACACCTGTTCTCACTTTCAGTGACATTGTAAACAAGAAGTGGGTAGCATTATCTCCTGCTAATTTAAACAAACTTGTTTGTCTGAGCAATTGGCTGAACAAGAAGTAGGGCTGAGTGGACTTGTAGGCTCTAAAATTTTACATTGTTTTATGTTTGAATGCAAGTTTTTTTGTACATAATTCTACATTTGTAAGTTCAACTTTCATGATAAAGAGATTGCACTACAGTTCTTCTATTAAGTGAATTGAAAAATACTATTTCTTTCATTTTTTTACATTGCAAATACTTGTAATCAAACATAAATATTAAGTGAGCACTGTACACTTTGTATTCTGTGTTGTAATTGAAATCAGTATATTTGAAAATGTAGAAAACACCCAAAAATATTTAAAGAAATGGTGCGATTAATCGCGATTAATTTTTTTAATCACTTGACAACCCTACTTTTTAGTTAAAAGAAAAGGTTACCTTTTACTTTATAACCATATTAAAGGGCTAAAGGCAGAGCAGCTTAATTCTTCTAAGTCACTTGCTGTCGGTAACTAATAATGGAGTTGGTATTTCTTTAAACAAACATATTAGTTAATCTATCCTGTTAAGTTCAATTATATCTGACACTGGCAGACAGCAGTGCCTATTGTTATTTATAGATTTATTCCTCAAATACATGTCACGTGAAGCGAACTCTATAAAACAAAGTTGGCTCCAGAAGTATAATACAGCAACTGTATAAAGAGTATGCGATATATTAGGTGACTTGGGATTGTGAACGGCATTAGTGCAAATATGCTGGTTTTCATTAAAAATCTTTAACACATTATTTTTATATAGGAACTTTACTGGTTGTGGAATTGGTCTGTACAGAAAGTATACAGAAAAAGTACACAGATACTTCTTCAGCAAATTCCATTAGTCAGTTATTCCCAGAGGATTTTTCATCCAAGGTTTCTTGTTGTTTTAATTGTAACAACCTTACTGCTGGTCCAAAGTGTTTGTTCAGTACGAAAGTTATCTAGACCAGCAGGTTTGCCATTCTTGAGGGCGTTATTCTGGAGGTTAATTCGGTCGTTTTCCATTGTGCCTCAAAATTATAAATTTCCTGCTCTTCTTGCTACTCAAGCCGCAATTTGGGTTGTCTGTTTGGTGCCCTGCTATTTTCTAAGAGTTGGCGTATGACCTGGTCTGCAAGAATGTTGTAGTGTTGCTCTGCCTTTTTTGGGTCGTTGTTAAGCTTCCAAATGGCAATCCATGCTCTCTTACTGCTATGGGTCATATCCGTACTTGCAATAAGATTCTGCCATGACTTCCATTTTTCCTCCATTAGTGCAGAGACCAGTTCTTCACAATTGTAGTCTGTGCACATTTTGGCTACCAGGTTGTGTTTGGCACACCAGAGCCCTTTGACATTTGCTGATATTATTGTCAGTGCTGTCTTGATGAGGACCATTTTGAATGACATTGACGACTGCTTTGATGTTCAGGTACAGTCAGTCGGTTATGCTGACGACTGAGTTGGTCTGCAAGCATAGAAATTCTTTGGTTATATTGTAGTCACAGGTGTTCAGCAGGATTTACAGCTTTAGAGAATCTAGCCACCAGACTAGCTGACATTCGGACTGACCAAATCAAACACTTCAAAGCAGCAACAAAGAACCGGTTACTTAAGTTGTTTAATGTGCTCAGCTACACACAAAGCAATGAGCATGTGTTGCGACACTCCTAAAGCCACAGAAGGATGCAGTGGAGCCGAAGAAATTCAGGCTTATATCACTATTATCACCTCTGCAAACTGTACAAGCATCACATCTCAAATCATCTATCACCACATGTTGAAAAGCAACTAATCCCAGAGTCAGGTGGATTCTACCCAGGAAAATTATGCACCGGAAAAGTACGAAACATCAGTCAATACTACAAAGATGGCCTTGAAAAGGATATGGTAACAGGCACTATGTTTGTTGTCCTATCAGCAGGATATGACACAATAAATTACTGAAGGCTCCTCTCTAAAAAATACAACACTTTGAATAACTGATAAAATCTCTACTAGAGCACTGATGTTCTTACATTGAACTACACAGGAAGCAGAACTTATGGCAGCAAAAGAAAATGGCCTACCACAAGCGAGCATACTCTTGCAGATACTCTTCAACATCTACACGAATGATCAACTGTTCCATCTCGGCACAAGAAGTTTTATCTATGCCGACGATCTATGTGTTGCTGCCCCAGCCAAGGATCTCACCCTGATGTAAGCTACATTAATATCGGCACCATCTGGGCTCTCAGTCTATTACACTAAGAACCAGTTGCATGCCAACACAGCCAAAACACAAGTGAGTCTCTTCCATCCTCAGCATCTGAGGCCAATATATAGCACAACATCATCTGGAATGGGGTATCGGTTACTCAACACTGAAATCCTGTCTACCTTGGAGTGACACTATACGGCACTCTCTCCTTCAAGGCACACATGAAGAAGACAACAGGCAAAGTTAGCACCTGGAACAACATACTCAGGAAGCTTGCAAATTCAAAATGGGGAACCAACCCAGCAACACTAACAGCCACTGCACTTGCACTTTGCTATTCGACAGCTGAATATGCACGTCCACTGTGGGAAAGATCGGCTCACACAAAGAACCTGGACCATGTGCTGAATTAACAGCTACTGCTACATCATATGATGCCTAAAACAAACAGTGAGCAGCCTTCTTGTGCTTGCTGGAACTGCTTCTGTGGCTATTAGGAGAGCAATTACAAGCAAAATAGAATGACTGCAACAGGTTGAAGATACCAGACATCTGCTTCATGGTCACAGCAGTTAGTTGCCTGAAATCTAGGAAAAGCTTCCTAACTGCAACAGAACCACTTAAAAAGTCACTGACAGCTACACAAGTGGAAATGTGGCTCACGTGGCTCAAAATACTCAATGAGGATGTCAAATGCACAACGACATTGCCAAACACCTTCCCATAGGTGCAGAAAAGGATTGGTTAACCTGGAGATGTTTAAATCACCTCCGAACAAGAGCTGGCAGGTCAAAAGTCAATGTGCAGAAGTGGAGCTATTCCAACTACCCAGACACATATGACTGAGGTGAACTGCAAACCACAGAAAATCTATTGGTCTGCTGGCTCCTGGAGGAACTGTGCACCAGAAAAGATCTCACCAGGATTACAGATCAGGCCATATCATGTGCCCAACACTGGAAAAATCTATGGTTGTGGTAGAGGGACACAAGAACATGAACCAGAATAACTGTAGAAACAGTTTCAGGAGTTACATTAAATACAAATATTTACATTTAGGCAAGATTCACTATATTAAGTGTCACAATGGTGGAGCTTACAGGCTCATCTATTTTTAAGTGTGTAGAGGAGACCTGATGAATTTTCTTTTAGTCTTTAAGGTGCCACCAGACTTCTTCTTGTTTTTGTGGATACAGACTAACACGGCTACACCTGATACAGTGGATGGTGAGTATACAATTTTAGATTATCCTAACTTTTAAAAATCAATGCCAAATACGTCAAACTAAGCCAAGACACATTCTGAAATTTCCTTTCAGTTTCAAAATTTCAGTCATTCTAGAGGTCTAAAAGTAACGGTTTTTAAAATAAGAAAAGTATTTTTGTCCATTTTCCTTTTATTAATTCAAAAAGCTACAGGAATCTCTCAAATTAAAAAAAAAAAAAAAAAAAAGAGCATGGAAAATTTCAGCCTTAAAAGACAAAGGTCTGAAAGTTATAAAATATATGGAAACGGAGTTACAGTAGAAAAGTTTTTGAAACTTTAACCATGGAAAGTCATGAATGACTGCTTTAATGCTCTAAAAAACGACGTTGGCTAACAATTAAAAGTACTTTTGTATGCCTCCTTCTACATCATGAAAGATGAAAAATTTACGCCTTAATCAGAAAAAGTCATCAGGATATAGACACTCAATTACTTGAACAAGTTTAACATGATACTTATAAACCATTTATCAAAAATTCGGATCAATTTTCACACATTTTAATTTCAGTTACAATTAGCTGTAAAACCATATGGATTTAAATTAGATACATTCATGTAGTACAATTAATCAGTTTTAAATCCAATGATTCCTTTTGACATTTTATTTATAGATCATTATAAAAACAGACCTTTAAATTACAGTTATGCTTTTTGATCAACATTTAATTTATTGTCTGCTGACAAAGTAATTGGTAAAACAGATAAATTACATAGTTTATTCATGCAAGGGGGATTTAAATGCGTGAAAACAATATAAGAGCAAGAAAAATTATGGATAATGAATGTATTCCCCACTCCATGCTGAGATAAAGCTGCCACCCTTCTGAGTCTATTCTATGTGCCCTAGCATCCAACAAAATGATTACAAGATTCCATTAAGCCTTGGTGACAGAACAGCATATGTCACACACACCAAAAAAGAAAAGACAAATTTAACTTACTTTAAAACTTTCTCTACTGTAATAAAAAATAGAGTCATTTTAACTTGTGTTTTTTGGTGTTTATTGCTCATTTAAGCAGTGAATTAAAAAAAAGCATTGTCAATGTCTACCACATTTTTGCGGGCACCATCAGCAACTACACTATGAACCAACCTCAGTCGTGGTTAAGGCTACAAGTCAGTCACGGATTCCGTGATTTTATGAGACCTCTCTGACTTCCTGAAAATTTCAATGATTCAGCCCTGCGACACTTGGGCTCCAGCTTCGGGGCTCCGGCTTCAGGGCTCCAGCTTCAGCCCCATGGCAGTGGCTTCAATAAATCTGTAATTTATTGTTCATTGCCCATGTCCTGTTTGTGACTTAATAAAAATACCTGTGCCAAAATCATAGCCTTAGTCATGGTATAAGGTCAACAGAGTAGCACATGTTTACATAAAGGCTAAAGCTGGCCCAACATGTACACGTGCTTGTTTAGGTGCAGAACCTACAGTATAACCTTTTTAAAAATGTATTCAGGAAGTGAACACTTGATTCATCAATTCGGAAGAACCTCAATTCCTATCATAAAATTTTGAAAGATACATTTGGAATCTAACATTTCAGTTTCCCTGTAGTTTCCGTACTTATCTTGTGTCAAATCATGTCAAAAATCAATGGCGTATCTGTAAATTGAGGATAATAATACTTCCCTACCCCATAGGAGTGTTGTGAGAATAAATAAAGGATTGTGAAGCACTTTGAGGTGTACTGATGAAGTGCTAAATAAAAGTTAAGTATTATTACAGTAAATGCTCATTAGTAGCAACATATTGGTGCCCTTTTGCTATGTTGCTCCTAAGGGTACGTCTATACTTACCTCCGGGTCCGGCGGTAAGCAATCGATCTTCTGGGATCGATCCCAGAAGTGCTCGCCGTCGACGCCGGTACTCCTGCTCCGCGAAAGGAGTACGCGGAGTCGACGGGGGAGCCTGCCCGCCATGTGTGGACCCGCGGTAAGTTCGAACTAAGATAGTTCGACTTCAGCTACGTGAATAACGTAGCTGAAGTTGCGTATCTTAGTTCGAAGTGGGGGGTTAGTGTGGACCAGCCTTAAGTGGCTGTTGCTGTTATGGGGAGTGTTGACAATTCACAACAGGGAAAGTGTTCCCAGGGGAAATGTTGCTCGTAAGCAGCGGTTGCTCTTACAAGGTGTTGCTGCAAACAAATGTCTACTATATTATATTATAAGATCCTACAGATCTCATGAGAGGATCATGTAGAAGTTGGGCTATGAGGGATCATGGAAAACATTTTTAAAAGCACCTAACACAAATCCTATTCACTTTCAAAAGGATTTGGGCACTTTTCAAATTTTTATCCCAAGACTTTAACACATTTATTTTTAAGTAAATGAATATATTTACCTTTCAAATGTGTTTAAGCGTTTAGGCAGATACAAAAGCATTCCATAATATGAAAGTCCTTCAAAGTAGTAGAAAGATCTTGGATGGGGTTTTCAAAAGCCCCCAAATTACTAAAGAGCACAAGTTCCACTGACAGGCAATGGCTTATGCTCCTAAATCAATTAGGCATTTTTTAAAATCCCACCTTCTTTGTATATTTGGCCAAATGAAAAAAACTGTCCAATCATATATACTTTGTAATGCTTGAGAACTGCTAATATATATAATTTGTTAGATTTTTCTACATTTACAACAAAATGAAACGGTCACCCAGTTGTGTACCTGATATGGCAACCTTTCCTCTACATGCTGCACGCTCTTTAGTCCGAACATCTGAACACCTGCCAAAAGAAACAGAAGGCTTGGAATAATGTACTTTTACCTCTAAAAGCAAGCTTTTGAACAACATTAGCAGTTTTTAAAACTTCCACAGTTGAATAGGTTTAAGATTAAAGTTTCACACATGCTCAGTCCAGATGCTTTTCTTTAAAGAAGAATTTGGCTACCTTTGGATGTAGAGGCGCCCACGCTTAAGTTGTTGGGCTCTGCGTATTCTTGACGGAAGATATTGTAAACTTCCCTAATTTCACAGAGGATTGGATCCTTAAACCGTATAAACTGGACATTAAAGGGTAAGTGAGCAGATCTGTCTTCCCTTCATTTTCCAACTCCAAGAGAATCTAGTTATGCCTATTGCTTCTCCCTTTCCTCCACACACACACACACGAAGAGACTATAATTTACTTTCTCCATTTGTTATATTAAAAGTTGGAGAGATAAACATTTCCTCCTCGACTAACAGAAGTTCTTATTGCCAAGTGTTGTGTTTTCAGGGTGATAATTAATATGCAGATTACCTGAGGTTTTGATAAGGGAAAAACTCTAATCAATACACCTTGAAATGAACCTAGAAACAAATCAGGAGCCAATACAATCTCTGAAGCACTGGTGTGGAGCGTTCCCTGACAGAACCACCACCACTAAATATGTGGCCAGCTATATTCTGTACTAACTAAATTTTCCAAGATGTCTTCAAAGTAGTCCCATGTAAATCATATTGGAATGGACCAATCCGGAGGTAACAAAGGAATGAACAGTAGTGAGCCCCACATCCATTTGCAACCTTTCCTATCTCCTGGCCAAGTTAAGTTAACAGTTCCTAGTCACTACTGATATCTGGGCATCCAGAAGCAGCTAGGACACCAGACTGTAAATCTAAGTAAGAAGAGGTCAGCACACCACTCATTTGCGAGGGCAGAAGTCACTTCCACAATTACAACCAATTGCCTCCCATAACCCTCAGACACCACCAGTGTTATCTGGATTGAATCTCAACCAAATGTCAGACACTGGAACAGATGATCCACTACATTATGACCATTCAACAAAGCAGGGACAAAATCCAAGGCCTGGTCTATACTATACTGGTATACTTATATCACTCGGGTGTGAAAAATCCACTCGCCTGAGCGACGTAGTTATGCCGACCTAACCCCCTGTGTAGACAGCATTATGTCTATGGAAGAGCTTCTACTGACTCTTGCGAAGGTGGATTAACTATACTGATGGCAAATGCTCTCCTGTCGGCGCAGTAATGTCTTCACTAATGCACGACAGCTGCACCAGTGCAGCTGCGACATTGCAACTCTTTAAGTGTAGACCTGCCCCAAATGTTGTCAGAATACTGATGGCACTGCAACACAAAGCTAATGGTTTCAGGTGCCCGCTGAACGGGGATGAGACAGAACTCTATACAGTCCCTGTCAAAGAGAGCTTTTTGGGTAGACAAGCAGCCATCCAGTACTGTTCTCTAAATCACTGAGGGGAAAAAAAAAAAAAGAAAAAAAACCAGCATAGACACAAATGTATCTCCAAGAATCTATGCTTTGATCTGCAAATGTATCACCACTACCAAGGTGGATTGGTTTAAATCACCTAATGGAAAGAATCAAGTTAAATAATGTATTTTAATCAACTTTTCCATTTGTATGTCAGTTATTGTCTAAAGAATGGTGCATTCTCATTGGTTGATATAGCCATTATGACATGTTGATTTACAAGTAAATAAAGCCTTTACACTAAATTTGGTACATCTTTTTGCTACCTAGGAGGATACACTATAACTATATACATTTATTTAAGCAATTATATAGTTTAATATTTTCAGATTCTCATTACTTGTACGAATCAGTATGTTAGAAAATGGTGAACGACATATTGATTATTTACTAAATAATTAATGTTTTGCTCAAGATTTGTGTCAAGCTGCATTAGGATAGTAACTTGAATTTAATTAAACACACAAAACAGCATATAAAATGTATTTTTATTAAACAACACAATCTTAAATGTTTTGGATCCATAAATTTCTCTTATCAAACCAGGTTTCGCATTTACAACTAAATGATTTATTAAACCGTAGGATTAACTATAGTCAGCTAATTTAATGGATTATTTCAGGTCAGTTGGGGAAAATTTTTAAATATTCCTAAATGAAAGTGATCGAAGCTTAATTTCCTACTCGCCTAAGTCTCTTGACAATAAGACAGTCTCTTAAGTTAGTTAGACTGACCTACTGTGCCATATTTATAAAGCTTGACCTCAAAATCTAGAATTAAGGGGGGGAAATATCTTTCTCTATATAGAAAAGCAGCCTTTAACTCAAAGTTTTTGATAGAGGCTCATGGAGTCAGCATATTTTAAGAGATTGTAATAAGTTTAGACCTTACAATATTTTGTATTAAATTCAAATTTCATTTTAAACATTCTTTAAAAAAAACCTATTTAAATATCAAAAACATCTGATTTAAATATAAAAGTCCATTTTTTTATTTAATTTTGTTAACATCATAGGTATTTAGCTTCCCTAACCATTATCTTGTAGTCAATGGTATCAAAAGCCTACAGATCTAAGAGTCAGCATAAATATTTGGTCTTTCTGCTTTTGGTGATGGAGAAAGAAAAGAATGGCATATAAGTCTTTAACTTATTTTGAAAAAGCAATATAACTGGTAAAAGTTTGATGATGCCATAAAATGTACTGTGGTTATGTGCATATGCAATAATTTTAAAAATTAGGTTTAATCATCAGGGTTAATCTGGCCACAAAATAAAATTCTCTAGCTTTCTCCCCAAAAGGCAACATTTCTAGATGCAAAATGTTAGAAGTTTGTTGCTATGGATACATTGGGACTAAGCCCATAGTTGCTTGAAGAGATTCTGCACTGAATTGCTACATAATACTTCATTAAAATGATAATCTGAAAGAAATGGTAGCTCTATTCTCAATACTGCATACAAGTTCTATTCCCTTTTGCAGAGCAACATTATACAAGTAAGCTGGTTATGCTTTAACTCACCCAGCAGTTATAATTCGGGCATATTTTCAACCAAGCATTTGTCTTCATGTTTGTGAAGAATTGTGTATTTTGATTACTATGATGTAGTTAACTAAAATGGCCAGCAGAGGGTACCAATTAACCACTGTGTACAATCTATCATTAAAGTACATTTAGAACAGGGGCTCTCAAACTGGGGGTCAAGACCCCTCAGGGGGTTGCAAAGTTATTACATGGGGGGGTCGCGAGCTGTCAGCTTCCAACCCAAACCATGCTTTGCCTCTAGCATTTATAAAGGTGTTAAATAATTTATAACTGGGGGTCGCACTCAGAGGCTTGCTGTGTGAAAAGGGTCACCAGTACAAAAGTTTGAGAACCGCTGATTTAGAAAGAGTAAAAGATTGAAAACTAGAAATAAAGGTATGCTGGTTTGGAGATATTCTCATAAGTAAAGCCCTACTTAGCTTGCAATATTGAGGATTCCACAATATTAGTCTTCCACTGTGTGTGGAGCTGACAGTGGGAGCCCCAGCCACCCCGGGACGGAGAGCAGGAGCCCCTGCCGTCAGCCCCGTATTCCCGCTGTCAGCCCCGAGCCCTCACTCTCAGCCCCAGGTGGCCGACAGCGGAAAAGTAATAAGGTCCATTATTACTTTTCTGCAATTTTACATGGTTTGTCCACAACTCAGCTGCAATTTTTTGACAATCATCCTGCAATTCAAGTAGGGGCTTACCCATAAGGTTTTCCATGCTTTGTTCCTTCACACACCTAACCTGATATCTCTGCACATGTTCAATGTAAACTTCTCTTGTAGAAAACATGCCATCAGGGTATCCCACACTTACATCTTGAACACTAATGGATAATGCCCATAATATGTTTTAGTAGAGAACAAATTACCTCAATTTACATTTTCTAAAATGCCAAACCCAGTAGCTTGAAATGAGGTTATGAAATGCAGATTTAATGCTCCAGTACAATGCAAAGATCAAGTTGCTGTAGGTTTTTGTTTTGGGTTTTGTTTGGGGGGGAGGGGAGAGAGAGGAGGACAAGCCAGTACTAGATCCAATTTTCTGGGTAAGCCTCCTGATACAACACTAACAATTACCTAAACTGTTTTATTTTATTTTTTTAAATCACAACCTAGAGCTTGCCATTGAATTCTCAATTTGTAATGAAACACTCAAGATTGTTACTCACCTTCCTCCTATTCTGTACGTGACTGGTTCCTCTTTTTGTTTCTGTAGTTCTGTCTTGTAGGCAAGAACGCGAGCATTGCAAACCATCAGGTTTTTAACTGCATGCAGCACTTGGTCTTTTTGGGTGCTCACTGCAAGCAGTTTACGGATTCCCTCTCGCATGCGGATTTCAAAGTCAATCTTTTCTTGAATGCTGCATTCCTAGATATCAAGATACATACAAGATTGTCAAGAGACCAAACATTGTAGAACTACAATAAAATCCAATTAATAACAGTACAGAAATTCAGAGTGGTAGCCGTGTTAGTCTGTATCAGCAAAAACAACATGAAAGCTTATGCCCAAATAAATTTGTTAGTCTCTAAAGTGCCACAAGTACTCCTCATTGTTACTACAGAAATTGCATTAAGTATTTTTTAGAAGAACTAAGTATTTACTAGATCATCGAAAGCGTGTGGTACCCTAGGTCTTTAATCACTACACAGTCAGTAAGACTATTTCAGTATTTGAAATGAGTATATTTTTTCATATATAAAGAGAATACTGGAATGAACTGGTGCATACTGGATTATGCATTCAACCAGAAAATTAGGGTGAACTCTAATTCAGGTACTGACATTGACTCACTGTATGATAAGACGGTTACTCACCTTCTGTAACTGTTGTTCTTCGAGATGTGTTGTTCACGTCCATTCCACATTAGGTGTACGCGCGCCGCGTGCACGAACGTCGGAAACTTTTTCCCTCAGCGGCTCCCGTTGGGCCCGCGTCTCCCTTCCCGCCAGAGCGGCGCCCCGCCCTAGCGTATATATATCCCTGCTGGCCCGACCCTCCCTCAGTTCCTTCTTGCCGGTGACTCCGACAGAGGGGAAGGAGGGTGGGAAGTGTAATGGACGTGAACAACACATCTCGAAGAACAACAGTTACAGAAGGTGAGTAACCGTCTTTTCTTCTTCGAGTGCTTGTTCACGTCCATTCCACATTAGGTGACTCACAAGCTTACCATTGGAGGAGGGTAGGAGTCAAGGAATAACTGACTGAAGCACCGCTCTGCCGACCATCGCGTCATCTCTGGTCTGATGGTGGACCGCGTAGTGGGCTGTGAAGGTATGCACCGACGACCAGGTGGCTGCCTTGCAGATCTCCTGGAGCGGGACCTGTGCCAAGAAGGCCGTCGAGGACGCCTGGGCCCTAGTAGAGTGAGCCCTGATCTGAGGTGCAGGCATGTTGGCGAGCTCATAGCACGTACGTATGCAACGCACGATCCATGCCGACAGGCGTTGCGTCGAAATAGGCTGGCCCCTCATTCGTTCCGCAACGGCCACAAACAGCTGAGTCGATTTGCGGAAAGGTCTGGTACGGTCTAGATAAAAAGCCAAGGCCCGCCGAACATCCAGGGTATGCAGGCTGCGATGGCTTGGGTCCGTATGGGGCTTGGGGAAGAACACCGGTAAACAAATGTCCTGTCCCATGTGAAAATTCATGACCACTTTTGGGAGGAATTTAGGGTGAGGCCTAAGCTGCACCTTATCCTTATAAAAGACGGTATAAGGAGGCTCCGAGGTGAGGGCCCTCAACTCCGATACCCTCCTAGCCGAGGTGATGGCCACGAGAAACGCGACCTTCCATGAAAGGTGCGTGAGGGAGCAAGAGGCCAGGGGTTCAAAAGGCGGCCCCATGAGCTTAGTAAGGACCAGATTGAGGTTCCACGGGGGTATTGGTGGGCGCGAGTAGGGGAACACCCTCTCCAGCCCCTTGAGGAATCGGACTACAGTGGGATTGGAGAACACGGATCTCCCCGATTCCCCAGGGTGGAATGCCGATATGGCGGCCAGATGCACCTTAATAGAAGCGGGGGCGAGGCCTTGACGCTTGAGGTGCAGCAAGTAGTCCAGAATCAGTGGTATCGAGGCCTGCAAGGGCTGGATGTGCTGAGGCCCACACCATAGGGAGAAGCGCTTCCACTTGGCAAGGTAGGTCGCCCTTGTGGAGGGTTTCCTACTACCAAGGAGGATTTGCTGGACCTCCTGAGAGCACCTGTGCTCCACATCACTTAGCCAGAGAGAAGCCATGCCGTGAGATGCAGCGATGGCAGGTTCGGGTGGAGTAGGCGACCCCGGTCTTGGGTGATGAGGTCGTGATGGAGGGGGAGGGCTATCGGAGTGGTCACGGACAGTTCCAACAGAGTTGTGAACCAGTGTTGGCGTGGCCATGCCGGGGCGATGAGAATGACTGTCACCTTGTCCCTGCGGGTTTTGAGGAGGACCCTGTGGATGAGTGGGAATGGGGGGAAGGCATACCTCAGGCTCCCGCCCCACGGGATTGCAAAGGCGTCCGCCAGAGAGCCCGGACTGCGTTTCTGGAATGAGCAAAACTGCGGGCACTGGCTGTTGTCCTTGGTGGCAAACAGATCCACCTGGGGAAACCCCCACCTCAGGAAGATTGAACGGAGGATGTCCCGTCTCAGCCTCCACTCGTGCATGAGATAGGACCGGCTGAGACGGTTCGCCAGCCCGTTTTGGACCCCGGAGAGATATGCAGCCCGAAGGTGCACTGAATGGGCTATGCAGAAGTCCCAGAGGAGGAGTGCCTCGTGACAGAGGGGAGAGGACCGGGACCGGCCCTGCTTGTTTATGTAAAACATAGCGGTAGTGTTGTCCGTCAGAACCGACATGCTGTGTCCTCTTATGGTAGCGTGGAAGGTCTGGCAGGCGAGGCGAACCGCCCTCAGCTCCTTCAGGTTGATGTGAAGCAACTGTTCCTCCCTGGACCACAAGCCCTGAGTGCGCAGGTCCCCTAGGTGCGCCCCCCAACCCAGGTCCGACGCATCTGTCACTAACGTCAAAACTGGTTGTGGGGTGGCAAACGGGACCCCCGCACAAACCTGCTGTTGATCGAGCCACCAACAGAGGGCGCCCGATACTCGAGCTGGGATCGTGACGACCATGTCCAATGGGTCCCTGTTGGGGCGGTACACCTGGGCCAACCACAGCTGCAGAGGCCGGAGTCTGAGATGGGCGAGCCCGACTACGTGTGTGCATGCCGCCATGTGCCCCAAGAGTTGTAAACAGCGTCTGGCCGTGGTCGTGGGGAATCACTGAATGGAGGTCACGGCCTCCTGGATAGCCAGGAATCGCGATAAAGGAAGACTCGCCCGTGCCACCACCGAGTCCAGGACTGCCCCTATGAAGTCCAGCCTCTGTGTGGGGACTAGTGAGGACTTGGGCACATTGACTAACAGGCCGAGTTCTCGGAATACTTGTAGCGCCAGTGCCACGTGGGCGCGAACCTCTGCCTGCGACCGGCCCGCCAGGAGCCAATCGTCCAGGTACGGGTAGACGCGCATCCGTCTTTTTCGAAGAAAGGCCGCTACCACGGACATGCATTTCGTGAAGACACGTGGGGCTGTTGCCAGACCGAAGGGCAAGACCGTAAACTGGAAATGACGTTGCTGGATAGTGAAGCGCAGGAACCGCCAGTGGGCCGGGCGAATGGCAATGTGAAAGTAGGCGTCTTTCATATCGAGGGCAGCGTACCAATCCCCCGGATCCAGGGAAGGAATGATGGTACCAAGGGAGACCATACGGAAACGTGGTTTTTGCAAGTACTTGTTTAGCTTGCGAAGGTCCAGGATCGGACGGAGGCCCCCTTTCGCTTTGGGAATGAGGAAGTATCTGGAATAGGACCCTTTTCCTCTGAGGTCCAGAGGAACCTCTTCCACCGCCCCCACAGCGAGGAGGGTCTGTACCTCCTGCATGAGGAGTTGCTCGTGAGAGGGGTCCCTGAAGAGGGACGGGGGTGGTGGGTGGGAGGGAGGGGGCGAGGAGAACTGAAGGGCGTAACCTGACTCTACCGTGCGCAGGACCCAGCGGTCCGATGTTATATGAGACCAAGCACGGAAAAAATGGGACAGGCGGTCCCTGAAACACAGGGGGGGATCCGGAGAGGAGATGGGTACGCTGTCCTCGATCGCAGCTTCAAAATCCTTGTTTATTTCCCGGCTGCGGCTTGTTGTGGCCCTGGTTTTGGCCTTGGTTAGGCGTATTGTTGCGCCTACGCCTATTGTCCCTGCCCCGTCGACGGTATGGTTCCTGCCGAGGGCGAGGATGGTACTGCCTCTGTGGAGGCTGTGGCTTGAAAGGCTTCCTCTGCGTTACAGGGGTGTGCATCCCCAAGGACTTGAGGGTAGCCCGAGAGTCCTTGAGGCCATGGAGCCTGGCATCCATTTGCTCCGAAAACAACCCCAAACCCTCAAACGGAAGGTCTTGGAGGGTGTTTTGCACCTCAGGGGGAAGGCCAGAAGCCTGCAGCCACGCTGAGCGCCTCATTACCACGCCTGACGCGATAGTCCTAGCGGCCGCATCAGCCGAGTCGAGTGAGGCCTGTAATGAGGTTTTGGCCACTGCCTTTCCCTCGTCCACTATGGCCGCAAACTCGGGTTGCGATCCCTGAGGCAAGGCATCCTTAAATTTCGACACCGATGCCCAGGAGTTAAAATTATGCCTATTGAGGATCGCTTGCTGGTTCGCGATCCGCAATTGGAGGCCTCCGGACGAGTAGACCTTTCTGCCAAACAAGTCTAATCGCTTCGCCTCCTTGGCCTTGGGGACTGGGGCCTGCTGGCCATGTCGCTCCCTCTCGTTGACCGCCGAAACGACCAGCGAACATGGGGTCAGGTGGGAGAATAGGAAGTCAAACCCCTTGGAAGGGGCGAAGTACTTTCTCTCGACGCCCCTTGCAGTCGGCGCCGAGGAGGCTGGCGTCTGCCATACAGTCTTATAGTTCGCCTGTACCGTCTTTATAAGCGGAAGTGCGATCCTGGAGGGACCCTCCGGGCTGAGAATGTCCACCATCGGGTCCTCCTGCTCAACAGTCTCCTCTGCCTGCAACCCCAAATTGAGGGCTACCCGGCGGAGCAGGTCCTGGTGTGCCCGATGGTCAATCGGGGGAGGGCCGGACACTGTTGTGCCCGCCACGGCTTCATCGGGTGAGGAGTAGGAGGTCATGGCCTTCTGCGCGTCCTCGTCCTCCTGCAACTCCTCCTCGGCGGGACGGTCCTCTGGGGTGCGTCCCCTGCCCTGGGTCGTGGACGGTGCCGGGCTCGGTGCCGAGTCCGTCCTATCCCTGTCTGGCGGCCTGGAGACCGTGGCCTCCGCACGGGAGGCAGGGCGGCACCGTGGGGAGCAGGACCGGTGTCCTGA